GTAGGTTAATGATTTAAATGCGCTTTTATTTTTGGCTTCTTGATGTAAATCCAAACCAGACAAGCAGAATCCTCTGGTCAGACGGCTGGAAATTCCTCTGCATGAAATCATGTTGGTGGTCTCCCGGCTCAGCGCCTTCTGAAGAGCCGTACAGTGAAATATCCTTCCGTACCACTAATGAATGCGCCCACCCACACTGGAGCTGGTGCCCCCTAAGAACTCAATTCAAGAACAACTTTTTAAACTCATAAATGAAATCAAAGGGCTCATTCTATGAGCCAAAGAACTTACAATTTTAGGTGGGACGCTTAATGGTATGAATGGCGTATAGGTTGCCCCCTTGGTTTGCAGTATAGAGTCTCGCAAGAAAAAATAATAAGCAGGATACCGAATATGTACACAGCATTCCAATTAATTACATTTCATCTTCCTCCAATGAATACATAAATTGTTGCTACCCTGGTAACTGAGTTTGAGTGACTTGCTCAGCATCAACCAAAGGAACCCAACTAAACTCACAAGATCTTGGTTTACTTTCCTGCGCTCAGACAAGACCTCCTTCTAGCTATTAAACAATCACTAAGCAACCAAAAGGTCTCAAACTGGCCATGAAAACTTGAGCAAGGGAATACAGGAAATAATTTTTAAGACTACTGCCACTGAACTCTCCCAAGACTCCTGTTCTTGTGCGAATGAGCACTTGTCGTTTCAAGTACAAGCACTGAAGCCCGGCGGCAATGGCCGGAGGACTGGATTAACCCGGTTGTGCTACCGAAGCGAGACGCGGATCTAATCCCGCGATGAGAAGTTGACTCCTTCAGAGAGGCCCGTTATAAAATTATCAAGTGACACGGGGGGTGGAAGGAATCAAGCTCGTTGTAATTGAACTGACTTGAAATAATAAATGCACACACTTTCTTTAAACACAGCTTGCCACATCCTGAGAATCTGGAATCAATTCCTTCCCTTTCAAGAAGCTTAAAAGTGGTGGGACTTTGATATGGCATGAGCATGTTTGCTTCTGGGCTTACAGCCCTCGCCAGCCCGTTCCAAACCTTTCAACGTTTTTATATTATAAGACAGAAAAGTTAGGAAAACAAAGATGGAAAAAAAGAATCAGAAATTCAGGGAACTATTAAATCAGAGCAGCCTAGCTGCCAAATACCTTTGGTAAGTAAATGAATCGTGATCAATAACATATTGCCATACAGACTTACAGAAGAAGGTTATCACCTGCTTCTGTGCCAGGCATAAAACATAATGGCATGTGGCTAATGAAGTACTGCATGAATCCAGAAAAAAAAATACTATTTTTCTCTGTAATGTTAAAGCATTTTACTTCAAAGTAATTTTAACTCATCCAGAAAAAACATGATTTTTGCCATGAAAACTTTGTCAAAATCGATAGGTTACTATGAAACACTTCTCTTTTGACGGTGTTGCATTTGTGAGAGGAAACTGTCTTGATAGAAGGAAACCTATTTTGGTAAAGGGATGTTTCAGCCTTGATTGTAAAGCTGCTTTATATGTTCACATATTTGCCAGCAGAGGGTATCACAATCTTAGAAACAAACAGATATATGGATCCTTATGTCCATTTACATGGAAGGATTCAGACACACACTAAACCAAGAAATGACAAATCTTATTTTCTGCAGTAACTTTTCCGGTATAAGAAAAAAAAAAAAAAGAAGCTTCTTAAAGGTTACAGGCTCTGTTATCAGTGCCATCTCACCGCCTTTCCCAGGGTAGGAAATACTGCAGCAACACAGCCAAGCGATGGCATTACTTGAAGTCTGAAATTGTTGTATGTCCCTGGCTGTAAACCCTCCTGGGAGGAACACCAGCTTGGGCTTATCTTTGGCGTGCATTAGGTTCTCATTTCTTATTTCTTATTTCTCACATCCAGTATCCTCATACTGCCTAAATCTCATTAATTATCCTAACCGCGCCACTTTTCCACAAAGATCTAACAGCCACAGGCTGTAGTGAGAGCTCATGTTACGCAGACCGCATGGTTTCTGCTAAACCTGTATGTTATGAAGAATGATCATATATCATCACACCTAACCCACACTTCTCGCAGCTAGAGATAGGCTGATGCTACAGATTCCTAGCCTGATATCCCGTGCATTAGTGAATTCACCTCCCTGACTCCCAAGTTAAGAGAACATAATTTAAACAACCTAATGTTTAGTGCTTTAGCTTACTTGGTATCCAGCACTCCCCTATTCCCAACTAAAATAAATTAAAACTATTTTTTATATAATGGTCTGGGTTCTCAATTTTATTTTTTATTTATTTGTGTATTTTGGTCATGTGCATCTGATGTCCCAGTCATTGGTGTGGCTTTCCAGATTAACCCAAGCACTTGAGTCTGCTGGAGCTAGGAGCCAATACAGAGGATGCCTGTGAGACATGTACTGCTTTTATCTGAGAGCTGGGCTGTATAGGTACTGTTAAAGATAACCACAAGCATCAATCTCTCTTCTTTTTGGATCTTACCTGCTTATATGGAGACAGGGAAAGGGACATTCTCCCAAATAATTACATGTTATATTTATAAAATTCTTTTTATTGTTACAGAACTATATACAACTACTTCTTCTGTTACATAGGAAAGATAATGCATCAGAATCTGCTGCAAAATGATATGTATCATATCACAGCTAAAGCCCCAGATCCCTTTTTGATTGGTCTTGCAATTTTTAAAAATATCAGTCGAAAAGAAATAGCTTCGTTAGGAAATACATATACAGTGGTGCTGTCCTTTCCTTTTTGCATAGTCCTTTCACTGCTCAAGAAATCCAACACAAGTACCTTTTAATTAACTCATTATCTGCCATCCAAATCAGCCTTCAGAATAACTGCTGTAGGTTCAGATGAACTGGATAGGAAAGTGGGTAAAATGTCCCTGGGATAGGGGAAAAGCCATTCTTGCTTAGCCCTTGAAAACTGAAAGTCAATTACCCTGCTGAAATTGAGGTCTACTTCCCACATGGCATACGTCTGCACTGGTAGTCCCAAGGACTCTGAGGTCCTCAGGTACTTTATTCCCTTGATAGAAAGAACATGTAGGTATTACTTATACTCCGCTCATCCCTGCTCTATTCTCCTTGCACTGCAGCACTCCAGCTGTAAAGAATCAAGCTAAAAGTTTTTCTCTACTTCAAAGAGGAAAGTTGAGGATCAGTGTGTTCAGAGATTGCAACGTGTCTGGATATCAAAGGAGCACGAACCTGCTAACAAAATGGAGTGAGGACATTTGCAGGGAACAAAGCTTGCTGCTCTGTTGCAGCTTAACACCTATTTTCTCTATAACTTTGGTGTGCTCAATTGTCATTGGGAAGCCTTTTCCTTTTATTTTCAGGAGTACCTAAACCAAGAGTTTGTTAGGCAGAATGAGGGAAAGCTCCCATTAATCACACTGCACCCAGTAAAAAGGGGGAGACCTGATCACGAGCACTTTGCGGGCTTAGATTCCTTATCTTTCAGTAGCGCATACCCGACCTTGAATTCCAGCTCTGGTTATGGCCAGACACCTCTAGGGCAGCCATTTACTACGGCTGGAGCTGCCAGCCCTGGTGAGTCCAGGGACTTGCGTATTGCAGAGTCACCGGGAAGGGATGCCTTGGGTTTATGCATATGGACAGACACCCATGGCTGCTTTAGAATGCAAGGGGCAGCACAGCTGAATTTAAGATTTACAGTTGTGGAGCAGACCATAAAAATTCCTTGTAAATGGCCAAGATATTTTAGTTTCACTGTAACATCTATTTAGTCTAGCTCGTAATTTATCTTCCTTTTACAGCTTCCTACAGAGGTTGGCTGAGCACCCCATTAGCATTAGGCAAAAAAATAACTTTTTAGCATCCCTGAAAAGTGAAGCACTATAATTATTTCCTTCTGTTAACAACGCAAAAATATTAGGGAGCAGATTGTTATCTGACATAAATCATCATTTACCCATTTTCATCTCATGGGTCAGCCCCAGGCAATGAAATATAATCAGACAAATGAAATCTGTGGCAGAGCTGGAACCTGAAAAAGTCTAGTCTTCTCTGAATTACACGATATGAGCGCATGGTGTTTAACATGCCTTAGGTCTCTGTCTGTGAAACTAGTAATATAAGGTAAGATAAGATGTACATCAGTGAGTGACTGCAAATATTCTACTAGATCATCTCAAGGGATGTGGCAATGTAAAACCATTAGCTTTCATGGTGCAAGAGGAGCTTAGATTAGCTGAAGTCTTGACTCTCTGAGGGGAAAGGAATGCGGAGAAGAAAAACAATTTCATTAAGGAGACAGTGTAGGATGCATGTAAATACGCATGGCATCCGGCTTCTGCAGGGAGGGCATTTCTTTTGACACACAAACTTGTGAGGGAAAGTCTAGAGCTTACAGAGTGCAATTACATTTCTTAAAGCCACGTCTTTCATTTAATTACTTTATGTTTAATGTCTTGATTAGTTTATATGAGCAAATTAGCTATAACAGCATAACATAATCATGAGATAAGTGGGCCAAGAGTCTGATGGCCACATCTAACAAATTATGAAGTGTCAGGGCATGGGTTGCTCTCACTCAGGCATTCACTGCTAAATTTTTAGTAGTAGCACAGTTTTGGGTCCAGTCAACACACACTCTTCTAAGCAGTGCCTGGGCAGAGTAGAGGAAGTTGCACGGGCCAGCAGCCACTTCCAGGAAGCAGTATGGGAGCCTGTACTGGAATCTGAGGAAGCCAGGGTGTATGGACAGGAGCCATGTCATGGTAAAGGGGCTACTAAGCACTCTGTGGCCTGTTTTTTTTACTAGTACAAATGTAGTTAATTCATTTGTGCCAACTGAGTCCACTGAACCAACCATCTCAAGTGGATCAGAAGCGGTACCTGATCTCATATGAACAGACTTTACAATAAAATGGTAGGAGAATGGTAACTTTATTCCACTTCTAAACACATAAACTCTCTGGCACATTTGGTAATGATCCTACTCACCAGCATTATCCTGCTGCTTGGTATTTTTGATGTATGCAGAAAATTTGGAGAAGATATCTATTCCAGCAGTGTTTGATTCCCGGTGCTTAGCGGCCAACTTGGGGTACCTGAACAGGGAGAAGCAGGGGGAGGGTAACATCTTGTGTGACGATTGCATATACAATTTACAAGAAGAAAGAAAAAACCCCTCTGTACGAGTAACTGCAATTAACGCTGTCATTTACCTCAAAGCAACAGCTTGGCAAGTCACTCTTAATAATACCTGTGTCTGTCAAAGCAGGCGTTGGGATAGTTACACAAGTAAGCCTTCATGACCAAGGTAATTTCACTGGTGCTTTCTGTTACCACGATCCAAGATACAGTGGCCTTAAATCAGATGGAAGCATGAATTCCCAGAAAGATGCAGAGGGGTTTGGCAGACAGCTCTCTCTACTATGAATGGCAGTCGTGTCTAATTTTCTACGCTCAAAATGTACTCCAGAATGTAACAGCAAGGCATGTTAGTATTACCCAGGTGAAGGAATATAAGGTTTTCGGTCTCTGAATTGTTTTTTATAGACATCTGGTGCAAAGGAATATATCGATTTGAAAGACCAACACAAACTAATGACTCCTGCTGATTTCAGGGGTCTTGGACCAGAGTATAGAAAATTTAAATATCTGATCTTTTGCCTCAGGACTGGCCTATAGCTGCTGATTCACTTGGAGGTAAAACACTCCATAAGGAACGAAGCCAGTATTCATTGATTCATAGATTTTAAGGTCCAAATCACAAGCCAACATTTTTTTTCCCATTATCCTTAAGTCCAAAACACTTGACTAACTGAGGCATATCTGGTGAATCTAAACCTTTCCTTGGTAGCTTGTTCCAATGGTTAATCATTCGTACTGAAAAAATCTGTGCCTTATTTCTAATCTGAATTAGTTTGTTTATAACTTACAGCCATGGGCTCTTGTCATTTCTTGACTAGAATAATGAGTACTTTTCTGCCTACAGAGCCTCTTGTACTCTGTAATTAGTTCCCCTTCCAACCTGTCTAATATACCATACAGGTCAGAAATCTCCAGTTTTTTGCTGTAAAATGCTTTTCTGGCATAGATATTTTCTGTTGCAATTCTCGGCATCTATTCCAAGTTATTTTTAGCGTTGTAAAATGTGGACACCAGACCCCTACAAAAATTTGGTCTCCTTAATTCTGCATACAAGGGCATCCTTAAATGTGTACAGAGAAAACATTCTGCAGTTATTAGTCATGCAAGTAACCTTCACACATGGAAGTCATCTCACTGAAGCCAGCAAGTTTCGTAAATAAATATGTAAGTAAAGATTGTAGGAGGGAGTGCTTTTTAGGAACTCCTCTTAGGACATCTTTCATTCCTAGGAAATGGAATATTGACTGAAAAAATCCCAAGTTCTTACTTTGGAGGTGCAAGAGTCTCTTCCAAGAATTCCTCAATCTTGTTAACATCTGTCTTGACTTCTCCATTGAAAGTCAAGAAAGGTGGGTGGGTCCCAGGAGCCAGATTGTGTAGGTCAGCTGGCTTTCTGCAGAGAAAAAGTCATGAAATCACTAATATTTATGGTCAGGTAGTTGCACAGATATTTATAGTTCCTACAAAATCAGTTGTTTGCCCTTCTTTTTTTTCTGTAACTTGTGGTTAGAAGACTTTGAAACTACCCCAAGCACCCTGTTTAATATAAAAACATTCCACAAGTGAAAAAAAAAAAAACAACCAAAGCTGAATCCCAACTATTTTGTTGTGCACCACAGACTCTCTAGGCCAGACACAAATCTGATTGAACTCGGTGGGGCCTTTCTACAGGGCAAACACTGGATCATATAACTATTTTCAATTAAACTGAACAATTTTTACCTTTTCAGGTCAACAGTGGTGACATTGAACACAACTCCTTTGAGCCACAAGATCATGAAGAGACGCTGGGAGAATGGGCAGTTCCCAATGCTTTCTCCATCTATACCAGCCTAAGGGATGGAAAGAGAGGAAAAATAGATTTCAGACTTGTTAGTCACTTACCTCCCTCGAGATGGAAAATTGGATGTTGAAAGAAAAAGAATCCATTTAAAAATAACTGACAGTGCCTGTAATTTAATATACTTTATCATCAACACAAGAATGGAGATAGTCCAGGATTCAGCCTTTGTGAGGAGCTTGAGAAGGCAACCTGGTGCCTCTCCTGAGGGCAGCTCCGGGTGAAGGAGATTGTGCCCCTTGCTGATGGCAAGCAACATCCAGGAGACTGTATATTCTTTCAATTACTCTCATCCGTACAGGACTACCTGCTTCATGGATGTGATAGAAAACTCAGGATAGGTTTTCAGCTCTATTTAAGTTGTGGACTGCAGCTTGTATCAGCTCGAGATCTGCTTCACTGTTTTACTACCCAAAATGTGGACTTTCAGATCTAGATTCAAACCCAAGCACTCTGGACATTGACTCATTCTTATCCACATGCAGTAAAGCAACAGCCCCAGACACAAACAGCTAGATCCAGACAGAAATCTCCATGCAAATCCTTCTAAGGTTTAAGGCAGATTTCAGCCAACGCATTCAGTCTGCTCCTATCTCTAGTACCTAATGAGTTGCCTACAAACCACTAGAAAACAATTAAAAAACTGCTAGTGTTAGCATTGAGGAAACAGTCTATTTTTTCCTCTAAAAATTTATGGTCCTTAGCCATGCAAATTCTGACTTTGAGCCATGGAGGGATACAAATAACACTAGCTGAACTGAGCCAAAGCTGCGTCCAAGGACAACATCCTTCTACAATAATTATGCTTGTGGCCAAAGCTTTCAGGACGATAATGGTTTTGATAGATTTCCATTTTAATTTGTGGTACCATTGTGTTTAAAAGATTCTTATAATCCTGGTGAAGCAACCAACCTTCCGTTGTTGACCCACATGGGTTGCATAACTGTATTTTATGCACACAGTGTGTGTCCGAAAACGGCTGATGAAAGAGCTAAGCAAATACATGCCCTTTTCCTTTGGAGAAAATATTATAGTACTCTGTTTGCTCTCATTAATTTTATCTTCTTAATATTCAAGCTGTGAGGTAGCATTTCTCTGTCTTAAAGAAGGAATCACTTCTAACTATTGTAGTTCTATGAAACATTCACGGCGCAACTAGAAACATTTTGACCAGTTGCTACACACTCAGGCCTTGCATGTGAAATGTTTAGCTGAAAGATGTTCTGGTAGGTGTCATGAATCTTTCTCAAGTCTTGAACGCAGCTTTTGATGATTCTGGGTTTAAAAACAAATTCCAGATTTCCCACCCACCAAAATATGGAGAGAGTATGGATTCAAGGCTTGGAGGCAACCCATCATAAAGTTTAGGGCTATGTAAAGAGTTTTTCTCTGGGTTCAGATTAAGTTTCAAACACTCAGATTGTAGAGGTATTTGGATATGGGGGTACAGTTTGGCTGCACTTTTACCTGAAATTATAGATCTGCAATATGCCTGGCACATGGCATACGCAAGAACCAGCAAACCATGTGGGTCAAAGAGAGGGATGGCATGAGGATGAGCAAGAGAAGATGCATTTTCCCATCTGCCTGAGGTGTGAATAGCCTGCTTTTGCAAAATTTTATTAATTAGATAATTAGCTCTGTTCTGCAAATTTCATGGCAAAACAATGACAATGTTGCCATGGGAATACCAGGCTCCACCATATTGCATGCAATAATTACTACAAAGTCTAATTTGTTGTTTTGGCTTTGGCTTGATAAACGAAGAACTTTTAACTTCCTACCCTTCCTGAAAAGAGGCAAATGCTATTGGAGAAAATAGTGATACAACACCAAATTTCCCTTTGGCTTTTTCACCATCTCAGTCATAATTATATCCCTCATAAATGGGTTGGGTAACTGAGTCGACAAACAATGTATTACAAACAACGTATTACAAACCTAAAATTTGAAGAAAAACAGATCAATGACTGAATTAAAGGGCAAAAGAGTACAGACAGAAAGGCTGATTCTCATCTTACCTTCTCTGGATTTACTTTGGCTTATACCTCCACTGCGTCTGATTCACTCTTCACCTGACTCCCCTCAAAGTGAGTGTAAAACCCTGGTTTGCCAAGACCTACAAATACCTTGCGAGCAAAGAGGTCTTGTCTCACATGCAAAGCTCCAGCCCTCCTGCAGGTCTCTACCCTGCATGGAGGCAATCTCCTGCCTGTCCTCATCACCCACTTCTTGTGCTGCAAATGACAATTTCACCTTTTTCAGGAAAGAGACTGAGGAAAACCATTTCCCCGCTCTCTCCAATTACATATTCTCATACAAAGGTTAAGGGTTACCCAGATCTGCATCTTTTTACATGTTCTCTGTCCTGTAAGGCAATGGTGAAAAAACCTCTCAAAACCAGAGAGGATTATTGGGGGAACAAAGTAGACGAATGATAATGAAGACACAGAAACGATGGGTCATATGAGGTTAAGGGATGCAGAAGTCACTGGGGATGGAAGAAAGAAGCAGAGTCTGAAAGAAATAAGATTCACTTAGACACCAAAAATAAAATTAATTGTGGAGGTCAAACGAGGCCTCCAACAGCCCCAAATGGTCAAAATATCTTCCCAACACTTCCAAAAGGGTGGGAAACATTAATTGCTAGAGACACACTGGGAATAGACAGAGGAAATTCCAGAAACGAAAGATAAACTAAAGAAAAAGTACGGTATGATCTCTGTTCAAAGCTCCTGGATCTGGAAGCCAGGCTCATGATTTGGGTGGAGTCTGACTCATGGGTTTTGATCTCATGTGACTGGCATAACTGAAAACGCTACCACAAATCACAAGGCAAACTGGTGACAGAGGAGGGAACAGAATCAAAATCTCCCCAGCAACACAATTTATCCATTAAATTCAGCTCTTTTTCTGCAGAAATTATAGGCAAGGCTCTGTCAATTTTGTGAATCCTTTCTCATTGCTTCTAACAGCAGTCAGTAATTCAATGTTCAGCACTCAGAAAGAGCAAAACCTTAGTAGGTAATAACTTCAAAGGTTTATCAGAGTGTCTTAAGATCCCTTGTGAAGTCTATTAACTACCAGGAGGAGATGAGGAAGAACAGAGATCTTCCCAGGCTTAGTCACTCTTAGCTTCAAAGGAAAACAGCTTGCTTAAAGCACCCCAGTAGTGCCTAAATACAAGTCTATTATGTATCTGTCCAAGGTTAAGGGCTCAAAAATGCAGGAATTAAATAATACCTTCATCAGGATCAAGAACTCAAACAGTTGATGGAAAGAAAAGAACAAATAATTGACAAGCTGGAGAAACACCATTTATCCCTGCTGTTATTCATAAATGAGCACAAAAGCTTTCTGACGTCGCTTCCCTGAAGCACAGCAAAAGTGATCAACCACTTACAAAAAGGAGCAAGTTGGTGATATATGCGCTCTCCCTGCCAGTAACACCAGATATTTCTGATTTAATGATCACAACTAGGGATAGACTTGAGGCTTTGTGGGCACTAGGATAAATGACACAGAGTTTTTAAAGTGAGCTATAAGACCCAAAGCTATGAAAGGATTCCAGAGCCACCTTCTCCCTGCAGATGGGCAGTCCCTCCTGTTCCCTATGGAGAAGGACTTCCCAGAGTGACTGTGGAGGAATGAAATGGACTTGAGGGTGAGATTCTTTGGCCAATGTTCATCCCACTGAAGTTTAACTGAGGGTCTCGTGTGCGGGCAAGGCCAAGATGATGTACATCCAAAAGATCAACCTGGCCACCTTTCACTTCGACTGAATCCAGTGAGTGTCTGAATGTAGGTGGGATGAATGTGGGCCCCGGTAATAGAAAAGCCTGGAATCTGTGGGGGCCTAATTCCTAGAGAATTATTTTGCTCCATCTTGGAAACATCACTTTCTGTTCCCACTGCTTCACACAAACTTACCCTTATTAGTTTAGCTACTAAAAGAAGGTGTTTTTCTACTTAATCTCCAGCTGTTTAGGTACTTCACAGCAACTGATGCAAGGTCCTGCCCTGGAACTCAGTATAATCACATCAGGAAAACCCCACTGTCGTACCAGCTGCTTGCCTCTATCTGAGCAATGGCAAGAATGAACAAGATGTTCTCCTTTATTATTTATAAGGCACTCCTCCTTAAATACTTCAGCTATTTTTAACGAATTAATTAAACTTTAAAGATATTTGTTTGCACAAGTGGGGAATGTATTGACACATTACCAAGGAACAAAATTAAGAGGGTTTCGGGGAAGAGAAAAAAAAAGTCACAGTGATTTTATGAGCTTGTGCCAAATATTTTTGTAAAGTAGTGGTAGTAGTGAGACCCTCCAACCACTGCACAGCACAGCTGAACATCATGAACAGGGAGCTCTTCTCAAGTTCAAGCTACTACTTTTCTATAAATGAAATAACTGGAATAAACTTCCTAACTTGTTCCAAAAATACTCCAGCTAGTACATGCACAGTGACTGCAATGCACACAGAAAACTGTATGTTATTTTAAATAACCTTAAGGGAGGGAAAAAGGCAAATTTCATTTCCAGTTATTCCCAAAATAGAGCAGCTTTAAAGAAATATACCAGCTTTAAAGAAATATGCCATCATTAATAATGACTAGCTTAAAAATGGCAGTGCTGGAGAGAGTTGCACATCGGAAAGCACTGTGTTTTTTCCAGGAAAACACACTTGGTTTTATCTATTCTCCTTCTCTTTTCATTTTTCATTGCATTGAGCCCATTCTGCACAATGCTCCAATGCTCTCCTGTACTCTGTGGTAAAGTAGGCAGGTATTTCTGATGACACAAAAACACATTTCTTTTTCCAATCGATCTTAACAAGTTAGCAAAAGCAGGTAGGCTAATTCACCTCAGTGTTTCCCAGTAAGGATTAAGGAGGGATTTGATTTCATCAGCCCTACAATCAAAATCTAGACTCACGTTACACACGGTTACACCCTCGGTGTTTTAAAATTGGGAAAGCGCCTGCCTT